TTTCCACTGGGCATAATAACTGATGCTAGAATTTTTCCATCATGAAGTGAGTGAACTTGAGAACATTGCAATATATAAGGGCAATACACTGATGGTGGAAGCAACCATAACCATTTATAAAGTGAGGCATTCAAAAAAATAAAAGGAAAAGGAAGTTTTATGTTCATGCTTCCAACTAAACTCTCAAAAAGTGATGCAAGGGGATTTACTGGTTAAGCTTGACTGACAAGGCACCATAGTCTAGGGGACCCCACTCAATTCAAGTTCAGAGGGCATGGCTGTACCCTACACTCTGCTGTAAGGGACAGGGTAAGGCAAGAGAAGTGCCTGGGGACTAAAATTTATGGAGAAACTCACTCTGAAGCTGACCTTGCCATTGTGATTCTGCTGCTCTCAAACCAGCCTGAAGCTAATGTGGACTCTGCACTGACTGAGCATGAGCTGCCCAAGGTTAAATTGGAGAGATGAGGGTGCATGCAGCTTTTTAATTCTATCTGCTTCTAGACACTGGAGTCCAAGCTTGTCCTTGAGAAAACTTCTAATGTTTATTTCTCCCTGGAACATTTGTTGTTCATTTGGCCTGAAATGACCTTCCACCCCTTCCTCATTTGGAAAATGCTATTTATCTTCCATTTACAGAATCCATTGGCATCTTTATTTTAAAGGATAGCAGAAAAGACATTGAAGCTGTCATGTGCCAGACTCCCAGCATTGCAGAGTGGGAAGTTAGAGCTTTAACATATTTAGAGGAGAAATTGGCAATGCCTGGCACTTAAGTCTAAGACATAGCCAGTTGTTTAAGTGGAATTTGCCTTACCAGGCAGGAGAAACACCTTCAATGGTCAAAAAGAGACTCCAATTATCTTTGTCTGTTTTTAATAACAATTATTATGGTATGAGAATGTTAATTACAGCATTGTTTACTGTGGCAGAAAATATGCAATGACCCAAATGTCCATGAAGGGAGATGACTAAATAATCACAGGTGCTTTAATACTGTGGTGTTACATGAAACAACAAAGGTAGCCCTAAGTATTTTGACTTGGAAAGATGTTTAAGATATCTTTTTAAATGAAAAAGGGAAGTAGAAGAAAAATACATCCAGTAGGAAATTATGTATTAAAACAACTCCCAAATGAATTTCGCACATTTCTCTAGGCATAATTATTTGCTGGCAAATCCAAAGAAAAGTGTCTGGAATCATATATGCCAAGGAGGGCACAGTTGTGTGGGAAAAGGCTCCGGGATTGGGGCAATTATCTAAGTTGGTTTTCTAAACATAGAAAATATATGTACATATTCCTTTTGTAATTAAGTATATTTAAAAATACCTAAATATTCCATGGCAATACTGCATGGACTACAACATTGAATATCAGATCTGTGCTTACAAAATGCCACTGAACCAACACAGAGACAAAGGACATTTGGATGAGGTGCTGGTGTGACATTAAGAAGAGCATTCTTTTCCAATTTCATCTACAATTTTCTCTGGCCAACTCTTAGGCTGACTACAGACACCGCAAACAGGAATTTTATAGCGTAAGGCCTTCTCTGAAGATGACTTCAGGCCTTTGTCCCGGCTAAGGGCCTTCTTGCTGCTAAAGCAAAATGTGTAGTTTAGACAATGTACTGATCGTGGGGGTGGGAGGGGGGCACAGAGGGGGTGAGGGAGGTTAGGGGGTGTCACCTCTGCCCCTGACTTTAGCCTGTGGGCTCTAGGTGGGTGGTCACTCCTCCACCTGGGAGCACCTTAATTTTGAGAAAAGAACAGTTATACCTACTGATGACTGGCATTTACCATGTGGTCTCTTTGTACAAATTTGCTCACTGATGCTGATGCTTTTCTGCAAAAAGTCTGACTATAATGAATGAAGCCAGTGGATTAGGGCCAGATGCTATCACATGACACCCACCGACACCAACACACCTCTGAGAGTAGAGGTCGAGTCCCAGGAGGCAAAGTCTATGATTATGTGATTAATAAACTTCATTCACAAACATTTGTGTGCCTGAACACTTACTGCTGAACTGCACATTTAAATTTAAATTTTGCAGGTCATAGATGGAAAAACCCATTGAATAGACTATTATAATTAAACCATCCCTGATGCTTTGTTTTATGAGTCAGGGTTTAGATGACTTTTACATCATAAGTGTGTCATAGGAATGATGAGACCCACTTACAGGGAGTTTAAAAATGATTGTGTGTGGGGGCCTCCCTGGTGGCGCAAGGGGTTAAGCACTGCACTATGAAGCTGTCCGCAGCCTCTGCAGTGCCAGTTCAATTCCCAGGCAGGGAAAATCTCACATGGTGCAACAGACCTCTCCTGCCTCACCTGCTGCTCCCCTCAGCAGTGTACTTCGGTCAATCTGCCTATTCTGCTCCCTGTTCTGTCTCTGGTGAATTCTCTAGCTGCCCCCCCACATCTCTGGCCTGTACCCCAGCTCTTGCATGCATAAATAAATCAATCTTTTAAAAAATGATTGTGTGTATATACACATATAATGTGTTTTTCTTACATATATATGTATTACATGTATGTATAAATTCTTAAAAACCTAAAAAGTGAGAGGTCATGGTCTTCATTCTGCCTTATTCCATTTTAGTAGAATCTGGAACAACTGAGACCCTTCTGTCCAGCTTCCTCCTCTCATCAATAATGAAGAGAGAATCATACAACTTCCTTTAGTTAGTGAAAAAAAAAATCAATCCTGAAATCAGCTTTGGGGTTTCAAATGCCCTTTACAGTGTCCAAACATGCTGGTTCATGCAAGTAATAAAACTGCTTTCTTCGGCAATCCTTCACCATTAAGTCTGAGTTAGTTCACTGACTCACAGTACTAGATGCAGAAAACATTACTGACCCCTTCAATCAGAAATGTTATTTGTATTTTCCTCAGTTTCACGGTAGGAGTCAAATAAATCACAGCTTATTCCTTCATTTAAAGGTTCTAGGAATTGCTAACATCAGAGAAGAATATTTGAGGTCCATGGCCAGGTTTTCTTCCCTCCTTTACAGGAATAGTAGATATTATTTTGGCTTTTTTTTAATTCAAAAGCTTTAAAAATTTCAAGTCCAGAACTGCATGAATGGTAATGTGGAAGCCCTCATCTCTGTGTGCTGGGCTGAGAACTGAGAGGAGGAACTGACAAGTGGATTGGCCTGTAGGGGAGGCTCTGCTCCCCTTCTTCTCTCTTACTCCCCATCTTTTTTTTTTAATTTTAATATCAAAATTTTCAACGTGCTCTGAGATAAAATAGTATAATAGATCCCCAGCCCTCTCTTAACTCATCTTCAAAATTATCCACACTTACCCTTTAAAAGAACATTTTAAAACAAATCTCACACATCAAGTATATCATAAAGATAATATTTTTAGAGACTACATTTTTAAGCCTAACCAAAGTAACATTATCACACCTAAATAAACAGCTTTAATATATTTAGTTAATATTATCTGATAAATATAAATAGACTTAGGTTTAGATATGACCTAACATGCCTGTGATCATTAATTTAATGTTAAAGTGCACTGAGCCATGGAGTATTTCCAGGTAATTGGTCAAATATTGTTGTGGGTGTGTTTGTGCGGGTGTTTCTGGATAAAATTCTCGCCCTCATGTCTCTTTATATAAAAAATATAATTATAAACATTTAGAAGTAAACATAAAGTATTTATACATGTATATATGTTCATAATTATGTGTGAAATTCCTCATACAGCACTAAATCAACAGTCCATATTTGATTTCCCAAATGGTTCACAAATATCTTTTAAAGATTATTTGAATTAGAATTCAAATAAGCTCCATATAGTTTTTTTTTTTTAAGTCTGTGAACATTAGTTATACTTGTAGAAAAGTCATGGGATGTTTTCATTTTTTTTTTTTTAATAATGTATTTATTTATTTATACAAGCACTGGATACAGTCGGAAGCCTGGGAGGGTGAGAGAATTCACCAGAGCCAGAGCGGGGAGCAGAGCAGGCAGAAGGACCGAAGTACACTGCTGAGGGGAGCAGCGGGCAGCAGGAGAGGTCTACGCGCCATGTGGGACCCTCCTCCAGTGGCCGGGGAGCAGCAGGGGATCGAACCGGCACTGCAGCAGCTTCACAACCCAGTGCTCAACCGCTGCACCACCAGGGAGGCCCCATTTTTTGTTTTTTCCTAGATAAAACTGGATAAGCCCCCCAACCCAAAACACTAAACACAAAATTTTATAATATGATTCTAGGTTTATAAAGATCAGAGTGTATGCCTTGCATGTGTCAAGACTGGATGAAACCATTCCTACTGACAATAATATACCGTTGAAATGTCAATGACCTTCTTTCATTTATACATTTCCATGTGTAAACTAGAAAATGTACAAATAGGCCTTCCCCACTGAAATGTAGTGTGGATAAAATGTAGTCTCACATGATTAAACAGTTCTGAAATTGGGTGCTCCCTGGTGGCACAAGGGGTTAAGCATCAGCACTATGAAGCTATTCACAACTACTGCAGCATGAGTTCGATCCCCAGCCAGGGAGGTGCCCACATGGCACGGCAGACTTCTCCTATCTCACCCACTGCTCCCCTCAGCAGTGTATTACAGTCAATCCCCCTATTCTTCTCCCCACTCTGCCTCTGGTGAATGCTCTCACCCCCCGCACTTCTGACCTACACTCCAGCTCTTGTATGCATAAATAAATCTTTACAAATAAAAATAAACAGTTCTGAAATAAAGAACAAAAAATGATGACATTTATATCATCATCATCAACATCATCATCATCATCCAAGGAACTGGTTTCATCTCTTGATTTGCAGCTGGGATCCTCTCAAAAACCTGCACAATTAATGCGAATCTATGCTACATAATTTAAATGAACAAGAGCAAACAAAGTGCTCTGATGAAATAGCCTGATCTTTGAGCAGAAGGAATCCTGTAAGTTTAACATATGCTGAAAAGGAGCCAATATTGACCTCTCAAGGTCATTGTTTTGACACTTACCCTGTACTGTTGAGGTAACTCTGTCCCACGCTGCAGTCCTTTGACAAAGAGGATGGATTGAACCAAAATGCTGGCAGGCACTGACCATTGCTGTGTCGCTCATAGCCATAGTCACTGTTGGGGAAAGAGCCAAGAGAAACCTTTCAGGAGGTGGAAAAATTATGAAGAATAATGCCATGTTAGGCCACAGCCAATTTCTATTCTAGTCAATGAGTCAAAAAACAGGCATTCACTAAATCAAGGCCTTTCTAAAAAGGGATTGTTTTGCCAGAATATCTATCAATTACCATTGAAATATCCTGGAGAAGCCAGACTGAGAAATGCTAACTTGGAGGCAATAGATGTGCCTTCGTAGAGATGAAGGGTCAGTTCCAAATAATTCTAATAAAATGCCTTTAAGCTGAAAGAGTACGGTCTTCAGAGGATTCACAGTGTTGGGTGTTGTTGGACCCAGACAAACAGGCAGCACTCAGTGTAAAGCTTCTTTGGATTGTTTAATACCACTACTGGTGGCACAGTCCTTGCTACCAGCAATGCCTTTGAGGTGTTCTTCCAAGACATCTGCATCTAACAAGTCGAGCTGAGCCAGGTCTCTCTGTACAAGAGCCATATGCTTCAAAGTCACAGTAGAAAAGACAATGTCCTTCAGGGGCATCGTGAGCATTCCCAAATGAAAAGGTGTGAACTAGTCAGTTACCAGTGCTAGCTGCGACTAGCTGTTGTAAATAATCTCTCTGGTTTGTTAATAGTCTAAGACTTTTCTCTTCCCTCCAAGGGCATCAAAGTGGCCATTATTCTTGGCTTTTGGAAGAAGCACCCAGGCACAGAGGATGACAACAAATCACCCCACCACATGCACAAACAACAGGAAGTGTGAGTATGAACTGCCCCATCTCTATAATGGAGGTGAGATGCTGGCACAAAGAAGAATCAGGAAGGGAGAAGTAGACTCAGCTTAGGGGCCTGTCACCACGCAGCTGGCACTCAGGATTCTGTGCCTATCAGCTGGTTTTGGTGCTGGTTCAAGACAGCATGTGCAGGAAGACTTTAGAGTATTTCTGCCTATAGGACACCCAGTGCTCACTGCAGGGAATTACTTTACAGATGTTGGAGAATGATAGGCAAGGGTATCTAGGAATGCACACCACCCAGAGAAAGCCAAGGAACATTCAGTGACAATCACCTTTCACTATGCATCACTTAAGTGGAATCAATGAAGCTTCAGCTACTGGTAGAAATTCAACAAGGTCATGGTGAGACCGCCGACGTATTTTCAGAGATCATGTAATTACAAAAATCCCATTTGATCAGAAAAGCTCACAGTGGCCTTATTCAGGATTCATTTCCCATTTCTCAGAATACATTTTAGTTAGTGGGATGAGCAGCAGATTCTAATCACAAATGAATGCAAGATATGGGCCAAGAATGAAGGGCCTGAGAATGGGGAGGAAGAGGCTTGGTTGCTTTCCTTTCCCTGTGTGCCCTTCATTCTACATAGCACAGCATTAAAAAAAAAAAAAAGGACAAGGACACTGACAACAAAAGGCTGCCTTATTTTGGAACCTGGTAGAAAAGATTCCAAGGGTTCAGCTGTTTCCAGGAGAAATCAACAAATTGGGGCATCTCACCTCTTTTTTATCTTTCATTTTCTAAGAATGAATGCATTTGCTCTATGGAAAAGATAATAATTAAAAAAAAGGCTACTTGGTAAAGCCAAAGCTAAACCACTCAGAAAATGTTAACTTCCTTAATAAATCCTTATTGAATAGAGTGGATGGAAGAGAAACCACCAGGCTTTGAAAAAAGAATGGGACGGCTGACTTAAAAATCCCATGGACGTATTCCCTGTAAATGTATTGCAGGGTGTCATAGGTAGACCAGGAATACACTATTTTTGTCATTTTAATAATGTTGACTGATTAAATAAAATCCACAGTTGGAGAGTCTCATGCAGAATCCCTGTGAGCTCCAATGTTCCTTAAGATCTGTTGCCCTAGGGCTGACCCCAGAGAGCTAGGGCACTGGATCTTGGCTTACCCAGTCTACCAGTGAGAGGGGGACAGCCTTAAGCTATCAGTCAAATTGTTGGTGGAAGTTTTGCCAGGCCTGCCTAGTACTATTGATTCAGAGAATGTCTCCAGAGGTCTATCATCAGATAAAATTTACTGTTTCTTAGATTTGTGTTGTGAATATACACATACCCCAGTCCAATCACTGCTATTCTGATGATCAGATATGCAACCTATGACTACAACAACACAGCTAACATTGTTCAAGGAATGACTTTGGTTCTTACGTAGGTCAAATTTCAATCATCGACCATATTTACCAAATGTGTTTTCTCTAAACTAAAAACATAACAAGAAGAAAAAGAAAGAAAGAAAGAAAAAGGGCAAGAGAGCATAGAAAGTGAGATGGATGTGGCCAAGGGTACTCATCCTGAATAATTTAAACTCTTACCAGAATGCTCTACACTGACCTAGAACAATGCCAGGACACCATTGACCTCCAAAGCTAGCTTCCTGCTTAGCAGACCTCCAGAGAAAAGGCTAAACAACCAAATCTGGCTTAACAACCAAATATCTCAGTCAGTTCTTTACTAGTTTGCGTGAGCTTAATTCAGGTAAAGAGAGAAATCTGCTTTACTGGCAGGTTCGGAGACCCATGAATTGGTATGTCATTGAGTTCACCCTTGCATTAAGTTCAGAAATGTCTTCCACAGTTGTCATGAGCAGTAGGCAGCCAATGACTGACTGAAACTTCCAGCAACAGAAAACGTGATGCCTTATAAGACCACAACTGGTAACCCTAGATTCTAGAGAGTGTTTATCTTCAGCACAATACACTTACTCCCTGAAAAGTCTACATACCATTTTCGGTGCTTCTGTCTTAAGTAATATAGGATGGACATGATCTCTCTTTTTGTCCTGAGATGCATCAAACTTATGAAGATAAGTACCAGTCACCTCTGGAATCCTCTTTAAGTCTAAAGGAACTCCTGGTATTCCATGCATACAGCTATGGATCCATGCTATCCCAAGAGGTAAATTCACAGAATATGAGTATTATTACCTGATTCTATATATGTCACTAATATTTAAAGCATAAGCTTTTATTCAGTCCTACATGGAATTGACTTGCTTAACAACTTCATGGGACGACAGCACAAGCTCACCAGTCAAAATCAGCCTCCGTGCAGACGCAGGGCTCAGATTCCATAGCTCCTGCATATTTTCCTTGCATGCATTTTCGCTCTGATTTTCGTTTCTTATATATCCTTTTTGCTCCCATGATGCAGGCTTCCCCCTGTAAGGAGACAAGATCTCATGTATGGTGGTACAAGGCTGGGATCTGACAAGCTCCACATTAGGATGGTTCAGGGAGATGTCCTCAAACTTCAGCATCATCTGGAGCTGGGTATCCTACTCTGCTAACAGCATTTACTTTCCAAGATCTAGAGCCCTATTATAGAATGACTTTACAGGTAACCCTAAGAAGCACTGAAGACATGCCAAAAATGTCCTGGATTTCTTCTGTGTTCATTAAGCCTTTACTTGGCAAGGTGTCAGGTGCAGTGCTACAGGGATACCCAGATAACTAAGACTCAGCCAAAAACAAGTGTACTGCCAACAAATATGTAGTAATTAAGTTCAATTCTGTCATAAAAGTTTTATACATTCATCATTTATGAGTATATGAAAGAAGAGCATTGCTAAGAAATATAAAGATCTAATTTGCATGAGTTTATTTTACCATTGCCCACACAACTTTTATAGCACTGATTTTATGTTGGTCTGCCAGATAAGCAAGGGACTCAATTCAGTGTTTCTCAGCACAATAAATAAAAGCTTTGAATACTGCCACGCACATGCATACCAAAGGGGGAAATATCAGCAATGTAAATGAGAGATAATTTTATTGTTGAGTCTCTGAATAAGGTGGATATTTCTAGCTGATGCTCCCCACTGCCCCATCCAACAAATTATCTCTGTGCCTGAAGGACCAAAGCAGAGTTTTGTCTGAGCTAAATTCATCCTTTCTTGCGCAAACTCATTTTAACTGGAACCATTACACCTCTACGTGCAAATATATTACTTAGTTTAGGTTTGGGGTATATAATATATCCCTGCCTAAATGTGGGGGTAACTTTACAGAAAGAACCTCAACTATGTCCTTTAAGGGAGCCAGAGGAAGCCTTCTGCCTTGGGAAATCAAAGAAGAGATGCTTTCAGCCAGTATTTTGATCTGAGCTGAACAGCAAAGGGGCCACGATGAAGGGGCTTTTCCTAGTAATAATTCTGCATTCTTGTACCATGAGTTCCTTAGAAAGAGTCAAGAAAGACCACCTAATTGCAGGAATCACAGTGGGTGGTGGAAAGGTTTCTCAGGCACTGCTCATCCAGCATAATTCAGTTATTTTCTGCCTCTGTTTGCATTGCTAGATAAAATTGAAGATGTTGTCCTCCCCTCACCATAGCTTGTGCCCCCACCCTGCAACCATATGACAAGCTCAGATAAATTATGTTTGGATCTCTGTGCTGAGTTGGTATTTCATTTTGAGTTGTAAGTCTAAGCCAAGCACATTTGAATTTTATCTCATTATATCCTGCTACAATAAAAACAGGAATGACTTCACAACAAATCATAAATGTTGAGTTTGTTCACTGCTGTAGGACAAAAAACATGTAAGAAAGCAGGAGATGGGCATTTTAGCTTAGGAACCCCAGTTCCCACACTTTAGCAATGAGCTTTCCCCAACACACTCCAGGCCTCCCGCCGGGACTCAGACCAGCCCTTTTGCTCCTACCTGGCTGTGCAGCTGCCAGGGTTTGTAGTCCTCTTCGGCACACCGTCTATCGAATATGGACTTGTAGTCCACTTTAACCAGCTGCCATTCAGAGCGGTGGCTGAAGTGCCCGAACACTCTACAGAGGTCATCATGATAAAAAGGAACACAATGATAACCACACCACCATTTATAACGACAGCTAGCATTCGCTAAGTGTTTAATGATCAGTTTTTGCATAAAGCTAATCATAATATGTTAAACATATCACTTGATCCTTAAAGAACATTTATGAGGAGGCTACTATTAAATATACATTTTCATACGGGTAACTTGAGGGTCCAGGAGTTAACAAGCAAAAATCAAAGTTGTGTCAAATTTGAAATGTTTCACTTAGACATTCACTTCTATATACCACATAAATGGCTGCCCCCAAAATGATTGCATAAAAAATCACAAATGGTGCATCCTACATGGCCCAATATTATATTGCTAGGCTGTCTAGTTAATGCACATAGTGCCCAGGGTTTATACTATTTTTACCTTCCCACCAGTCCCTAGGAAAAGTGGGTGGCATTGCCAAGTAGTATCATTTGGCATTCTACTCTCCTTATACAGAGACTCGAACATTTAATGAGATGTTTCAATCACCAACCCTAGGTGTAGAAAAAAGCCACCAAATGGCCTGTTTGGTTAGTTTTTTTCAGTTGGCATTTTATAAATATAAAATCTGTACAAAGACAAATTATGCGATGCATTGCCAATCTAGCAATATTTACCATGGGCAAAGGTGTAGCTATTAAGCATACTAAATTTTTGTTGATCTTTGCTATCATTAAAAAAGAAGGATGCAAGAAAAAACTTGGAAAATGCATCAAAAAATTCATTCACTTTGATTTTTAAAGTTTCATTGATTACAGGATCAACTGCTTTCGAACCTTCTCTCTGTTTTCTATGTCCAATTTTCCAGAGGAAGGAAAAAAAATCACAGTTTCATATTTCAAATTCAAAGCTCATGTTTTGCAGCCCACAGGCAAGCAAGTCATTAATCAAGTCTTTCACAAATTAATGATCATCACTTTCCAGACAAGAATGAGTGCAAATGCAATTTCCCAAGAACAGATTGTTCTCACGGTTTTCCTAATATGCCTCACAATTGGATTAGGTAAAGGGCCAGGAAAAGTAAAATCCTTTGTGGGATTTTGATCAAGCTCTGTGTTTTGTCTTAAAGTGAAATCATTCTTATATGCCTCTTATTTTCTGCATGTTTTTGTGTATTATTAAAGTTTTAAATGTGTAACTTCATTTTTCTATTGAAATGACCATTTCTAATTTCCTAAGCCAATTCAAAATAGGAAGAAATACATTAGGCCCTTTTTAGCTGCCATCCCTCATAACTAGGGTCCCCTAATAATTAGTAAAAAGCCATGAAATGGCTACCTACATGTGTCCCTACTCTTCAGCCAACGAAGCAGACTTAACTAAAATACATCCTTCAGGATTTATAGTATGATCAGAAAACATCATAGTTTTCTACTTACGTCATGATTAGAGTCTCTTCCCCAGGCTCACCCAGAACCCCATCCACAAAAAGTGGAATAGATGTGAAACTGTATTTGCTCCAAGATCTCCCCTCATCAAAACTCAACCTAATGACAGAAAAAATTAACAGTTACTGGATCTCAAAAGAAAAACAAAGACCCTTTCAAAGAAAAGATGCTATCAACAAGGAGAGAATACATTTCAGAAGTACTTGGGCATTGTCAAAGTGAGCCTTTCATACGAATAAGTGTTCTTAATTACAACAGAAGGTAGGAATATACAGTTAGCCGAGTGATTTGGTACCCAGATGTATTACAACATCAATAAGGGGAGAGATGCATGAAATGGAAATAATAAGTCTTTGATAGAATTTTTTTTCAATTTGGATATTTCATTAGATCTGACTATTTAAATTTGGATATTTCATTAGATATTTCCATAGATCTCAATGTAACCCTCTCCAAAACTCACTGTAAAAGGGCAGCAAGACTTGCAGGCGATTCTGAAGAGCAGGGTCTTATGAAATTTACTTCAATGGAATTGAACCAGTTACCTCTAAGTGACCAAGGCCTGAGCAGCCACCCACTCACACTTCCTAAGTCTCAATTGAAACTCTAAATGAATGGGTACAGGTCAAGCTCCTGAGGGTAAGAGGAGAGGAGTCTGAGACTCTGAAGGCCATGCAGGATGTCTTCTGCCCTCACATCCTCTATGGATGCCTCCCCCCAAGCTATGCCCATTTCTCTTTTTTTATGCAGCTTTTCCTCCAGTACCCAATGAAAATAACTCTGGAGGGGAAACCAGGTTTTTTTTATTTTGAGCAAGCTCACACGTGGAGAGTCACTTTCAAAATCACAGATGAGGCAATCTATTGGAAACCCCTCTCGGAGTCAGGCTTGGCACACCCACCTGTGGAAGACCTACAGGTGGAGTTGTGAATGTCATCCCCCAACAGGAAGAAAAGGAAGTAGGATCAGGAGAAATGGGACAACAGCAGAAGTGTCAGGAACTGCTAATCTCACCACAAAATGCATACAATAAATGCAAATTTTAAATTTCAGGAGAGGTTACTGGGGAAAGGTGACTGCAAGATGTTAAGCTACTCAGAAATTATGCATGACACACCATTCTACCCCTCCCATGGTTCTGCTGAGAGAATAAGGTGCAGAGGAGGGGGCTGTCATATTTGCAAACCATAAACAATTCTCTCAGGGGCAAAAACAATCTCCCTCCCTCTTCCTTGCCTCTCCCTTACTTCTGTCTCCCCTCCCTCTCTCACTCCAGCTCTTTTTTCTCTTTCTTTTGTGAAACTGCAGGCAACAATATTATTTTAATATTATTTTAATAATATTTTAATAGTCTGGTCTCAGTGAGGAGCCATGAGGCCTCAGGGGCAATAGGTATCTTTACCAGAGGTGTCGAATCGGGAGAGAGGTGTGCTTCATAGCAACCAGCACGCCACCTTGATCCAGATACAGAACACTGTGCTCTTCTTCAAAGATCTGAAAGAGGAGAACACATATGGCCTGGACACCTCTCCACAACCAGTCACCCAGAGTGCAGAGAATCCATCTTCACATGGCAAGGAAAATCCCTCCCTTGATAAAACTAGGATTCCCCAAATCTTTGGGAATATCGAGTTACAGATAATGCTTCACAAGGAAGGTTAGAAGCACTGTTGATGTTGCATGAAATGATTCTAGGTGAACTACCAAAGAAATGTAAAGAACTAATATCTATGTAGTCATGTTGATATTCCCTCCTTAGGACATGTTCTAATGATCCCCATTTACAATAATGGGAGAATATTGGTAACTGTCATATTGGGGAACATTTTTATTTATTTATTTTATTAAGGCAACTCAGATTTATAACACTGCATATGATTCAGAGGTCTAGGATTTTTATATGGAAAAAATCTTAGAGACATTTTACTCTAATGTTTGAATTTTTACAGATGAGCAAAGTTAGTTTTAGAAAGTAACTTGCTTAGGACCACATATTGTAATTGATGGAGCTCAGACTTACAGTATTATAATGTCCTTTCAGATTAGTGGTTTCAAAGTTTCTAAGTATTATATAGCAAAGATGTTCTTATTCAAAACATAGATTATTTACCAAGTCATTAAGTAGTTCTGATCAAAATGTAATCATCATCTCTGGATACGTGTGTCATTGGATCGTTCTCCAAATGTGGAGAAACCAGTCTGGAGTCAAATGGAGATAGCCTAGAAACAACTTTTAGATGCTCTAAGATGAACAGCACTTTCTCACAGTCACTGTTAGTATACCCTTTTTGGGAGACATAATCTTTCTACCCATTCGTTTACTTCTTGTAGCCAAGGTGTACCCCAAGCTTATAGAAATAGAGAATTTGTTTTGCTTGGGGTGTTAAAAGAAAAATAAAAATTGGGGTCTTGACTCTTTATTCTCCAGAGGAAGCTTAGTAGTCCATGTTCCTACATGCCTATAATATCAACTGCCTTGGGTTCTTAAGGAAATTTCTTTCCTGGCCATGTCTCAAAATATATAACTTACACTGAGGATCTCTGAAGATCTGAACCCAGTCAACAGCCAGTGGATTATAATATGAATGCCTCTGTTCCTGTTCAAATTTTAAAGCAGAGTTTTCTCATGGTTGTATGATTACCTGTGCATTAGATTTCAGTTTATGGTGCTAGTTATTGTATGATAATTAAATGTCAGTGGGTTATTAAAACATATTTATTGAAGTGTAACAACCATGCATTAGGCACATACCTTGTTATGATTGCTGAACCTCATTAAGTGTTGTTTTATAACCTATGGATATCTAATTTCCACTCAGAAGAAAGACAGAAAGCATTTAAGCTAAACACATTGGTACAAAGTGATTCCATTTCTGTTTTCTCTAACATATGCACCCTGATGGTTATTACTCTGTCTTTTGCACATGAGATTTAAACATCTCAGAACACCACCTGGGTAATGGCTATTTCTGTATCATTGCATTCCTTTCTATTCTGACTATAAGACAAGAGGGATTCATGTGGCAGCTAGGCCTTGGCTGGATAATCTACTCTCCAGGCTCCAGGTTGCCTATAAGATAAACTCTTAGGGATTCTGGTTTTCATTTTTGGGAAAAATTTAGTCAGATGAACTTTGACTTCATTGTCACTTATAAACATTCTTCTAACTTCTGAACAAATGTATTTTTAAATTCTCTACAAGAAAGGCAATTTAGGGCCTCCCCCATGGTGCAGCAGTTGAGTGCTGGGTTATAAAGCTGCCTGCAGCCTCTGCAGCGCCAGTTCGATCCCCGGCAGCTGGGCGAGGGTCCCACATGGCGCACAGACCTCTCCTGCCGCCCGCTGCTCCCCTCAGCAATGTACTTTGTCAGTCTGCCTATTCTGCTCCCTGTTCTGGCTCTGGTGAATTCTCTCACTCTCCCATGCTTCTGACTGTACCCAGTGCTTGTATAAATAAATAAATAAATCTTAAAAAAAAAAAGAAAAAGAAAGGCAAGTTACACAAATATTTGTTAAACTCAAAAACTTGTATATGAATCTCATAACAAAAAGAAAAATAAACATTTTGGCAAACTTTAGGATACATACACACACATGCACATCACACACATAGCTAAGTAAGTTCCCCAAATTGAACTAAGTTGGAAAATTTCCATGCTACTTACACTTCTGTGATTGGACCCAGGTTAATGCCTTACCTGCCTCCAAGTGTTCCCTGCATCTGAAGAGACAAACATGCTGATGTCGCTGTCTGATAATTCAGAGCCAATATTTCCTGGAAAGAGCACATCTCCATTAGGGAAAGGAACTTTCTGCAAAGACTAACAACAGACTTTATTAGCAGTCTGCATTGCTCGAGATAGATCCAGACTGCAAATATTATATCTGCGTAGGGTGTTCAGCATACTTGCTTCAGAGTCAATGGTTTAGGTACTTTCAAAGATATTTTTAACTTGCTCATTAAGCGCCAAGCACGAATATCTAGATTCTTAAAAATAAACATACTTACAACAACAAGCAAACCAGGAACACTTCTTACCTGAAGCCACGATGATGCTGGGAGCTGTGTCTCGGCTGGCAATGATCCCTGAAGTGTAGGGATTCTCAGAAACCTTAAGATGAAGGTGTAGTGAGCAATAGGGCTGGAAGAAGAGAAATGTGTATTATGAATGCACGTAACTTAAATGGTCATTTAATGAAGTCCAGATTCAGAGCACCTATCCATTCACTGCACCACGCCCATCTATCCACCCATCCGTGCATACATCCATCACTGCCTTTCATTTTCCAGATACTGGTGTCCACTAAACACAAGACATCTGCCAAGCTGATAATGGAAAGAGAACACTCTCTAGTCAACTGATTTAATTGCCATGTCATTATTCCACAAATAATTTAGTAGCTTATCACATTGACTAAAATTTGACCTCTGCCAGTACAAAATGTATAATTTAAGATCTTTGTTGATTACCATATGGGAATTAGTACAGACAAAATACCAAATTCTAGAGGGTGATGAGATGATCTCCATTCTGGTTAGGGAAAAGCTTTAAGGAGAAAACGGCACCCGAAGCAAAAATGGGAAGAGATGAAGCGCAGATGAGAAGTCCAGGATTTCAGGCCTGAGTTATATCAGTAACAGAGAAAAGAACATAGAGGAGAGTGGTGAGACAGGATGTGGCCCGGTAAGACTGGGAGAGGAGACAAGGGGTGTGATGAGGAGAAAGGATTGCTCTGTTCAGACTGGAGGGCTTTGAAGAAGTCAGCTGGCATCTTAGTTCCTCCATTGGCGTCCGTGGTCTTGGCTGCACAGGAGGAGTTGATAATATACAAAATGGTCTCAACCATACAACTGACACAGAATCTGTGTCGGGGCACAACCAGAATCAGTATTATTTAATATAAAAATTCATACTTGTTGACAAAATGCACTAGCAATAACAACTTAAATGAAAGTTTAAAGGACTTATTTATCTGTGCCTAACAATCTTGATCAAATTGGATTGAGATAGCAAGTTTTCAAAACCAGGACAGTAAATCTTATATGAATTTCATTTAAAATAATTCATGTGCCAAGTTGTCAAAAACTACAAGTTTGTGTTTGAACTCGATTTCTTTTCATCTCTCAGGAAGATTATTTTCTAATCTTAGCAACTTGAGTGTTTGGAATAACCTATGTATCTCTGTTATTACTTTTATTCTGCACTGTAAGTCTCAGCCAGTAGATATTCAGAGAGCTACAGAGATACAATGATTAAATTTATACAGGATGGAGTAAATGACAAACTAAAAATGAAACTCAGGAATAGAAGCAGTCAAAATACTATGAAGTAAAAAGAGTGGATCACCACTGAGTCTTTTCCCCACTGCCAACACAGAATAAAACACAGAAAAATGACAATAATAAGTTACTAGTTTGATAGGAAAATTTCATAGAAAGCTTTCAAAAAAGGAATTTTTACTTTTTAATGTCCCATAAGCAACAGGAATGAAACCCCTTTAAGAAACCATCTGACCCAAACACTTGGCTTCCCTGTGTCCAAGAAGTCTAGAACAGCTACACTTCTCTGTGGTTAAGGTCCCAGGGCAGAGCCACACAGCACTCACAACACTCAGACAAATGCTAAGACAGGATAGAGCAGAGATGTCAAGCCATTTTTCCATGAAAGCTTTCCTGACAAGCTCAGTCCACCAGAATCTCCCCTTCTCTGATCTATACCAGTTAATTTTCCCTGCATGACCCTGTTTTATCTAACCTAGCTTTGTATAGTTTTATCTCCCAAAGAGATGCACTCTACAAATAGAAACATCAAGGATGTCTTTGCCTCTACCGTGGAACCTAGTATAGAATCCAAGAAGGGAGACAGAAAAAGCTTGAAGTAAATATGAAGCCATGTTTTTGTGTTTGAACATGGAAGATATTACTATTTTGTTCAGAATAAGACTAGAAGTACCTGGTTTATTTACAGGTCACATAATCAGAGCAATGTGAGTATCTCCATGGCATTCCAAGAAGGGCATCACTCCTTGAGCACCTTGCGTAGACATATGACTTTATGGAGGGCTACGGTGCCACCCACAACAACAGGACATCCCTGGCCAAGGGAGCCGCACCTTGTTTTCAATCTTTAGCCAGGCACTAACCAAATTCTGTTCATCATCCAGCAGTCTAGACAATGACAGTGAAGCTCAGTTGCCACCTGGACCCAGACCTATTTGACATGGAATACCTGCCATCACAAAGAAAAGGGGGCACTTAAAATGGGCCATCTCAGCATTGCTCTGTGGCAATGGCTCTCAGAGACCCGAGATAAATTAATTTGAGAAGAAAAGACACCCAGTTCATGCAGTAGCAAGAGCATCAGAAATGATCTTTTTTGGTGCACTTTTTTATCCTCTCTCACATTTGCAGTACTGGATTGCCCCCAGCTGGTACAAGAAGAATATTCCATGGCTTTTTTTTTTTTTTTCTTTCATTATTTCAAGAAAGTTATGTAGTCTACCTCATGTTTGAAGAAAAACAATGCTAAACAATCCATCTTCAATTTTCTAAACAACTACTTTTATACCTGATAAGTTCTGGCCACTTATCAGAATTAAGTCACCAAAATTTATTAGACAGCTGTATTACAATGGCTGTGTGGTCCTTGCCAGCTCCTGAAGGGCACAAGACTTCTAATTCTCAGAGGCACATTTTTCCCTGTAGGGGGCGCTTTGTCCACTTCCCTCCTCTTTCCTGCCTGCCTGGTTTTCTCCCGTTAGCTAACATGTGCTGACTACCCGAGCATCTTTCCAAAGTTACCTCCAATTCAGTAGACACAAAGCACAGCTCGTCTCAAAGACACTCGTCTCTTTCTCTTCCCTTTCTACATAAAGAAAATGCAGACAACTGTGTAATGACACCACCATGCCCAAGCAGCTGACTTACAGAGAATGGAAACCAGCAGATGTTTGGAAGCTACCCTTTGTGTGCTAACTCACAAAGAGCCACCAGATATTATCAATTGCTCAATTCTAGAAGCAACAAGATCCTTAGTCTGCAATTTTTTCAGGGTCAGGTATGAAGTTTGAGCATCTGGTGCAAATTAAACACTCTCTTCCAGGAAGAAGGGCACCAAGGCAAGTACGCACAGTTGTGTATATTCAACCTCAGGGAGTTCACATACTCTTGAAGCTTATCATGGGCATCCATGTCCTAATTGCCTAATTGCCACCATGAAACAGATCAATTTATAAAGATGATTTGACGGTCAATCTGCTTCTGATAGTACTTCTTCTGCTCCCTACCCCAAACATGATATTACTAACCCTTCAATCTCAATTTCATGATAGCTTTATCCTTAGGGCTCCAAATCCGAGCTTTGTGTATTGCAAAACCAAATCAGAACTTTCAAAAAATAATTAAGCAGTACACAAATTTCCAAAGAGTGTCCCTTCTCTTTTGCCTCCACTGTTTCTGACCCTGAATTTGTGCTAGAAATTCTTCAGCAAAGATTCAGTGACAGAGAACAGATTGATCCCTGGGCCAGTTGGCTGAGTAGGGGTATTCAGCTCTACTCCACCAGCACAAGTGAATCACAGCCGGAGCAAAGGAGGTGGTGAGCAGAGTCGAGAATCTCCTGGGGTAGCTGGTTGCTCAGTTCCAGTAGCAAATTACCAACTGAATCCATAAAGAAATCACTCCTTTCCCCATCAAACACTATGCTTCCCTCGGGGCCGAGGGTTTGTCACTGGCTCGGCTCACATCTCACCTCTTGGGAGCACAATCCTGAGGTTTTGGAGGCAGGTGTACCGTGCCCTGTGAAACCCCATCTAATTGCACAATGCAGCCTTCAGAGGAAAGAAATCCCAGCTGAGCTCTCCAGGCAATCAGTCTAAAAGTCCTAAAAATACAGCTCCAAATTACCCTGGATGTCTTATTTCTATAGAATACATTTTACCAGGAACATTCCATTCGGGGCTGTAATTCTGAACTTGTTCCATATTCGTAACAGCCCTGCTGAAAATCTCTTTTCTAATCACCAGGCTGTGCTTTCAGTGACACTGTCACTTTCCAAGTACTCACAATCTACAATCACTTTTTATCTGCTCTCTGCCACCAGCTCCCGAACCTAAAGTAGATTTTTAATAGTCTGGGTCTAATGGAGCTCAAAGATTTTCTTTCCTACTTTGTGCCTTTGTGATTTTGGTCTCTCCTCCCACTCCCTTTGTCATGTTCCTCTCTTCACCCCACTTCTGTTTTCTAAAGCCTGAATTGAAACTACATTGAACAACAATGTTAATGAGGAAAAGGGGTAAAGAGACTCCTGGGTATCATACATCTCTCTCCCATTAATTCATCTTTCTTCGGTCTTAGTAAGTCTACTGATTTTGTTAACTTTGAGGGTCAACTTAAGCCTGAGAGTTTCTGGGATACTCTGACACATCCTTCCAGATGACTGTCAGTGGCAAGGAAAGTTCCCATTGTGAAATCCGTAAATGAAGCACCCATCGATGAAGCATCTGCTTCAAACAAGCACAGTATCCATAGTGACCGGGGGGGTGTGGAGGACCTACCACGGCAGGTATGGTTCCTGCAGCTGGGTGTTTGGAGTAGCCAAAAAGACAGCCATGGATCCCGTGCTCCCAGAGCCCACACTGTAGTGGAGGAAGATGGACATGGACATCAACAAATTCATGCGGAGATTTCAGATAGTGAGGGATCACGGATAAAGAATTACGACAAATACAACTTTGTGAAATGCTCAAGGGAACTCTCTGAGATTAAGTAATCAACCAAGCAAGGATCTGAATGCCAAGAAAAAGCAGGAGAGAAGAGCATTTTAAGAGAAATAATGGCAAGTACAAAGAGCCTGGATATGGTAGGGAAAGCAACCCCCTCCTGTCCACCATGACCTACGAGGAATGGAGGAGATCAGCGGGAGACGAGCCAGGGCAGCAGACAAGGGGGCAGAGTATATGATCTCTGCAGCTACGGTAAACTCTTTGACTCTATTCTACCAGAATCAGAAAGACCCCAGAAGGTTTAAGTAAAGGAGGGGCAGCTCTGAATATTTGTAAAGCTCCAGTTGGTTCCATCCACAATTAGAAAACAGATATAATCTATAGTGAAGCATATTAGTGGCTGTTCAGGCAGGGCTGCGGAGCTTGACTGAAAGGGGTGCAAAGAAATTTTTTAGGGTGATGACTAGAGATTGGTTATATGGACATACACAATGTGAAGATTAACCATATGAGTCTCTTTATGTGGCTACTTTTAATGTATTTTATCTAAATAAAATCAGATTAAAAAGTAAGTTGCATAGATTGCTGGGTGGAGAAGAGATGGCTGGGGAGAGACTTGAGGAGCAGTTAGGAGTCTGTTCCCTCAAGTGGGAAATGGTGACTTGTATTAGGACAGGCGTGTGGAGATGGGGAAGCAAGCTGATGCTGCGTTCCTGTTTTGGAGGCACCAAAATAGGATTGCCTTAACTCTGGGCTGTGGGAATATGGGGGGAGGGAAGGGGTTCAGGAAATACCTCGAAAAGTACCATGTATAAGAGGCATTTCTCTGGTCCATTTATGATGCCAGTGTGGCCAGGGGAAACCTTTTTAGGTGATATAGTTATTTGACTTTCATGGGCACTTAATCTCCAGCGTGCATGGTGGAACGGAGGAACATGTTAAGGCATGGATGCATCCCAGGCATCTTTGGCTAAATATTACATTCCACCTTGGAGAAGCAAAAGTAGGACAGTGGTTCTTTTTTTTTAAATGCTACTAAGCTAAGGTGTTCAATAAATAAATCCTGCACTTACTTCTCTGTCACTGGCTGGATTTGTTTACTTACTAGAACAACTGGCTTCCTCCTTTTCCCCGAGTCACCCCCCACTATTCCTCATTAGTTGCCAGTAATAAGGAAGGAAGCTGAGTGGGAGGCTGAATCTCAAGACGGCTTCCCTAATGCCCAGTGACAACTGTGACATCCTCTGCAACTAATAAGGTCATGCTATGGCTTCTGGCATCTTCTCAAATATGAGGGTGACCCATCCACAGCGGTATGAGATGAACCTGCAAAATGACTCTTCAGACTTTACGGAAAACAGGGGAGCCCGTCTTACTAAAACCGAGAGATCTCCCCTCTGGTCTCCTACTGGTCTCTCTCTTTTATGAATTTTAACTACAAATTCTAAATTTCTTTATGGAAATCAGCATTTAATTACACTGTGTTTTGCAATCAATCTCATCCTCTGCTCCTTCTGGATTCTTTTGGTGTCTATTCATGAGGCAAGCGTGGGGCAGGCCTCAGAACTACTACAAGTAGTGAAACATAACCTTATAATCCTTCACTTGTGAATGGAGTCTTTCTCAAGTAGACTGGGTACTCCTTGAAGATAAGACCCCTCTTTGATCTCTGTCTTGAATTCAACTGTGAGATCAAATATACAAATAAATTGATACTGATCTACTTATTTCCTGAAATGTTAGACAGCTAGAAGAAAGCCATACTTCAAAGAGGGAACCAGAAAATTTTGTGAAGAGTCAGGTAACAAACTATCTGATTGTATGTGGACCAAAAAATCACTGTCATGAAGACACATTTCTGCCATTATAGATCAAAAGCAGTCATAAAAATATGTAAATTATTAAGTAGTGTCATCTTCCAATAAAACTTATTTAGAAAAACAGTTGTTGGGCCTTATTTCCCCCACAGGCCATAGTTTGCCAACACCAGCTTTATAGAATAAGACATCAATGATAGAACATATTATAAAAAGTATTGATAAGGGTTTAAATCAGTGATTCTCACCCTTTTTTTGATAAACTTCTGTGGGAGTATGATTAAACACCTCAGTTCATCAATTTAACAGATGCATTTACATATCCTCAGATCTGTCACAGGTTATGCATGAGAAAGTAAGAGAAGAAACCATCACATTCTCCTTCAACTACAATGTGAGGCCCTTATGTGGGCCATGACTGAATGACCTCAGAAGTTCACAGGAAAATCATGTACTCCAGTTCCCTTATCACTTTGGTTGGGCCCAACACAAAAATCAGCATGGCAACGCTTTTCCATACACTCTCTCTTCACACTCTCCCCTTTTGTTCATCAGTTAAACAAATAGCCCTGGAACCATCTTTGTCCACCTGTTTAACCTACATTCCCAGCCCTCCACTATGTGGGGCATCCTGCTCTAACAGGAAGACTCACCAGTAAGCAATGCACAGGATCCCCTCTTAGATCCGTGTCTGGTGCCTGCAGCAAACGCCAGTCTCTGCCTTTGTTATATGTGATGAAAGTCTTCACCTGGTTGTCAATCTTCTTGTTAGCCAAGAACATTCCCTTTATCCCTGCTACCTAGGAAAAATTGACATGGCTGAAAAATACATCTATGTCAGAAGGGATATACATGTTTATTTAAAAACCCAAAAAAGTAGACTGCCAAGTTCCTCTGTGAACACTTATTTTGGAGGGAAGACAGGGTGAGGATAAGGGAAAGAGTGATGCTGAAGTATAAAGACTCCCTGGAGTGTGGGACAGAAAGCAATGGATTAGGGCTCCCGAGTATATGGGGGTCATGGTGCAAGTCTAGCCATTTATTTCCTCTAAGGTAGGCTGTGTCCCTGAGTTTGCAGTTGCCGAGAGAGGAACTTTGGTATTTTCAGTTATTTTCCTTAGTGGATGATGCATAAATAGAGGCTACTTCCATTTTGTATTCAGGATAGCACCCTTAGTTGTATATTATCATTATTATTTTTACATCATTGTTCAGTTTTAAACAATATTTGCTTCCCCCACCCCCTCAGGTGTAGAGTTTCCTTCCCCAATGCACCTGTCCACCATCACCTCAGTCCCCTGTGCACCTCCCTCCCTCCCTCTGATCCCTCTCCCTGCTCCTCCCCTAGCAGGATGTCTCTGTTTATAATTGTCTGGTTTTGCTTTGTTGTGTTTTGTACTGTTATTACTTTTTTACACTGATGTCTTATTTGGCTCCCTTATATTCCTGCTAATCCTTCTAATAGTTCTCTGGGTAAGTTATTCTATTGTGAAAAATTATTCTATTCCATAGATAAAGAAACTATGGCCCATCTAAGTACAGTGACTTGCTTAAGTTCATTCTGCCTAAGGACACAGAAATTAAGCAACGACCTGGGATTTTAACCCAAAACTCTATGGCTTCACAGCCTGTGTCCTTAATGTCTACTTAAATTATTGAGCTACCTACAGCCTTAGGCACTTGAAGGGGGTCAATTAAAGTGCATGATCCAATTACTATTGCTTTTTTTTTTTTCTGTAAAAGATTGCTTCATTAGGCCACCAAATTATACTGGGCAAAAGAGAACAGGTTTAAAATGTAAAGAAGCAGTGGTATGAGATGAACCTGCAAAATGACTGTTCAGACTTTACGGAAAACAGGGAAGTCCGTCTTACTAAAACCGAGAGATCTCCCCTCTGGTCTCCTACTGGTCTCTCTCTCTCTCTTTTATGAATTTTAACTATTTTATGAATTTTAACAATTTCCCTAAGTTGCCAAATAATCTCTCCACCATTCCTGTAACACCACTGCACCCACTATAAATAGTCCTTATTAATGACTTACCTCTGAAAACACTATTGTCTTCTCTCTTCTATATATTAGAAAGTAACAAACAGTAAGCTGCCAACACTTTGTAATAACAAATCATTAATCGTGCATTACATTTTTCATGCATTTCAGTGTATTAGAGACATTCATTCATATGTATGAATATATATACACACTCTGCCTGGAAATATGACAATGAGGGAAACTGAAGGGCAGGGAGAAAGGAGCTGAGATGGGTTGAATAGAGCATTTCTACACTATGCATATCTCATTTAATGCTCACAATAACCATGAAATATAGTTTTCATTTTGAGATGAGGAAGCAGAAACTTAGATTAAGTGATTTTCTGTTGCATACACAGGGATGAGTGAATAAGCTAGCAGGCTTATTTGAACCATTTAACTAAAGTCAGACCCTTCATATTATAATATGGACAGTTATAAGCAGAAGCGTGAAATCTCAACTTCCATCTTTTTAGTCCTCGGGTCATGCCAAGCATTCCACTAAGCACTTTATATGTGAAAACGCTGGTATTCATGGCCAACCTGCATAACAACTAGTATCCCCATCATATGGCTGAGGAAACTAAAGTGTACTCCAAGTTTAACCGCTTCAGATAACAGAGAGTCTGGGTTGCCACCCAAATCTGTCAGACTTCTACTACCCTTTCAATGAGCTCTGATTTTGTCAATGCAAAAGGGCAGGGTTACTATCAATAGAATACACACGACTTGCCTTTGCTTTTGACATAGTCAAACCTCATTAGATTGTACCTGCTGATTTGGCATCTGGGATAATTTAGAGTTGAGCCAACTTTGTACTCTTTTGGAACAGCAAGTTTGTTAAGCAAATAAATGGTTTAAATGAGTTGCTGGGAGGAATACTTTGAACTACTTAGGAAAACAAGTCTCATTTTGGGCCATCAGCAGCAGCCAGAACAGATTCTGCTGCATTGTGGATCCTCAACAAAAGTGGAAGATGTAAACTCCAGGAGCACTCGACCTCCCAACAACAGCGTGTTAATTACAAGTAGTACTTAGTTTTTCACTATACCAGCTCCAGAAGGACTACTCCCCAGGAAACCCCATGTTGGTTTTGCATATGTTCGAGAGGCTGTTACATATTTAAATATGACTACTCTGCCAGTTCTTTAAAAATTAAATTTCATTAATCAGAATTTTCACAAAGTCATACGTGTCTTCCCTGCATGGTACACCCCTGCAGGAGGAGCAACACTGTCTTAACTACCCAGCACTCTAGGCAGTTACAGAAAGAACTGAAGGAATACAGATATGACTTATTCCCAGTTTCAATCTCCATTTTCCTTCCTGCCCTCCCGCTCTTTGGGTGAGGGTGTCGGAGCAGGGTTATGCATGTTTAGGAGCTGGTTCATTTGATTTGCAGAAACGGTGACTTTATTGGCCTCCAAGGACTTGGCATTATCAAATGCCACTTGAGCCAAGGGCTGTGCTTTGTAATTCATCTCTGGCAGCTTGGCCTTCAGGTTTATCTTGAAGTGTAAAAACTTGGCAAAGCAGAGGGAATGTGTGACAATAGGGGAGAGAGATGGAGAGGCTCTGCTTATTTTCCTCTTGCAGTCAAGGCACTTTATCTATGAAAAGGTGTCTTTTTTCTTTTTTGCCTCTTTGGCCTGCAAAGATAGTCTCCCCTGCTCTTTTTCTTTTTGTGCCATTTTGCTCAAAGCCTGAGAAGTCCATCTTTCTGTGTGCCTGAGTGCAACTCAACACTTTCCTTTAGGACTCTTGTAAAGTATCAGCAGGTATTCTTGGAATCTCTACCCCCTCCCATAGAATTCTGGATATCAAGGGAGCATTAGTGAGTGGGAGTACATGCATGTGCACACATGTTCACAAATGTGCTTGAGGTCTGGGGTTCACTGAGGATGAGGGAATACGTATCTATTTTCAGACACCATCCCTATATACACACTATGTGCACATTTGGGGAATAAGGTAGCATTGAGGGATGGGGCAGGGTGGGGAAAAGTAACATTCCTAATGGAAGGCAGGCCTTCACATAGACACAAGTTTCCAAGGAAGACATTCCTATGTGAATAACAGGCCTCACCCTTTGGGAGTTTTTCTTCCTTTAGGGAAAGACCTATTCCCTTTTTTTGCCTTTCTGAATTCTGCACAAAGATGTCTGAGAACACTGAGCATGTCGGGAAGCCACTTTTGCTTTGTTGCCTGTCCTCTGGGGGGATTTAATACCATAAGTCTCAAAGGTAATTAACAGTTATTTCTTAGTCTCTATTATCATCCAAGTCAAAATATCATTTTGATTCGACTTGAGCTATGAGTTTCTAGCTCAAGCTTCACACCAACACAAAGCACATCAGCACATCCACTGGGCCCCAAAAGGCAGTCTCAGAGCCCTGCTCACTCCCTTGAATCGCCTCCTGACCTGTCTCTACCTGCCTGTCCCTCAATGCCCTGCTCAAAAAGCCTTTCCCAGAAATGAATGTTTATTGAGACGGCTGCCTCTTCTCTGAGCTCTGGTTTGTTTCTTACATAGCTGTACCTACATCACGGCTCCCGATAACTCTGGAAGCTTTCCAGGGCTGCTTCTCGAGTACTCCTTGACTGCTTCCCACAGGCTGATTCAGCAAGACTGAGGCCACCTCACCCATCTGTTCTCCCGTTCTAACCAACCTTTGGATGGTCCCTCAATCCACTATATTCCTTCATTAAAATCTATTAAGAAAAGAATTCACTTTGTACAGGAAGTCCTGGGTTTGTTTTTAATAAAAAAAAAAAAAAAGTCCTGGATCTGTTTAGACAGTAAGAATTCTGCCTTAGGCAATATACCAAGAGCAACAGTACCCCACATTTATTACACACTGCACAGTGTCAGGTACGGCAGGAAAGACTTTGCAAGCACGACCCTATCAGTCCCCCATGCACTCTGAGCAGAAGTCAATGCTATCCTCGTGCTATAAATGAGAAAATCAAAGTCTGGATGTGATCAATCAATGTGGTCAATCAATGCCCAAGGTCATTCCCTAGGGAACCTGGGTGCTGAACTCCAAGTCATTGTGTGTAACTGCAGAACTCACAAGCTTAACCCTTTGGCCATACTATTTCTCCAAACTTTCTCTCATCTTACAGTGTTCTGTGAGAGACATGTAGGAAAATGACACAGGAAACTATCTTTTACTCACACTTCAGTACATCTAAAGTACAGTAGCATTTCAATAAATACTTTTATAAAAATATTTATTTATACAAGAGATGGGGTACAGGCCAGAGGCGTGGGAGGGTGAGAGGATTCACCAGAGTCAGAGCAGAACAGTCAGAATGCCTGAAATATACTGCTGAGGGGAGCAGCGGGCAAGACAGGAGAGGTCTGCCGCACCATGTGGGTATCTCCCTAGATGGCTGGGAATTGAACTCGCGCTGCATAGGCTGTGGACAGATTCACAGTGCTGCACTCAACCTGCTGCACCACTAGGGAGGCCCTCAATAAATACTTTTTAAGCAGCTACTATTTATGATGTATTTAACAACTAAAATGTCTAAGCAAGCATACATTCATTCGGCAGATTTTTTTTTTTTTTGAGGCTACTTGCTAAGTATTATATATTTAAGTTTCCTGGTGATCTAACAGAAGAGCCCCAGATATCTCCTTGCATTTAAATACATGCCTCTAGGGCCTCCCAGGTGGCACAGCGTTTGAGCGCTTGGTTGCGAAGCTGCCCGCAGCCTCTGCAGTGCTGGTTCAATCCCCGGCTGCTCCCCGGCCACCGGAGGA